TTTTTGCAGTAATTTAGAAAAGAAATTTTACTAAAGTATATACCTAGTTTCTTTACAAATTTCTTATTCTTGTTCAACTTTTTCAAAGCTTCTGCATCCATATATGGGATATTGTTTGCTTTAGCTTCATCGCAATGTTGTTGATCGCCCAATACACATACTTGCATCTTTGGTCGAGGAATGTTCTTCAATCTGATAATGATAATTAATATATGCATATAAACTAGATATTAATTCAGTAAAGTATTAAAAAAATATTCGTCAGAATAGATTTATTATTATTTTATAATTGAACTATTTATTAAATTGATCATAAATAATAATAATTTAATAAAATCGCACGATATCAATATTCTCAGTAAAATTAGAATTTCTACATTATAGATTTGTAGATCAGATAATACATGCTTAAATAGCATCATTGAACATTGATTAATATGTATAAAATTTGAAAATGCCACCACATTTTATATGAACTTACCAGAGGGATCATGAAACATGATCCTGGAATATATATATATAACGGTACAATACCTCCCCAGTTTTTTAAGACCCTGGGTAATGGTCCGCCAGGCTAAAGCCTTAGCTTCCTGATCATTAATGAAGTGACCTTTTCGTGTTTTATAATATAAGATTGTTTTTTTAATGCATAATAATTAAACTCCGAAAAGAACCCTCATAGTCAGGTTAAAACATACTTGACGGTGCCTGAGAAACGCTTATCCTTTTGTGGGTCATAATTCTTCAGTCCAATTTGTAGTTCTACCGTTTCCAAAAAGTTCCTCTTCTTATCCTTCGAATTCTGAAGTACTGCATTAACGCATTCATAGAGAGTATCACGTGATACTTTGGACCTATAACGTAGAGGTTATAATGCAAAGTAGTATATCATTTTAATTTATAAGAATAAATATTGTCTTTTAATTAGCAATAACTAAAGTGAAATTTAATCTTTCTTATGAATATCTAGTCTAACACTCTCATTGAAAAGTATCATTGATAATTTATTAAATGATATGGAATCAACAAATTTTAACTACTTTCGAAAAACCTGATGGTTAATAGAGCTTTCTAAATATCTTTATTAGAAAAAAAATTAAACGCACTAATAAATCAATACGCATTGTATTGTTTTTTGATAAATATATTTACATGCAAATGTTACGGATTAATATGATATAGAAAGATGAAAAAGAAAAAAAACTCACGTCATTTTGCCAAAGCAAACAGGACAAGCGTAGCTGTTCGACTATCCTTCTCAAGAACTAATACCGGAAAGAAACACTACGTGGCCCAAGCAGTAACTTTAGTAACGTGAACTAACGAAAGTATTAGATGGTTAACTCATGGTCAAAATTTAATTTAAAAACATAGAATAAAATACATAAGAAAGGTCTCTGAAATTTCACATCGATCCAAATTTTTCAACATTCGATAATTTTTTATACCAATAATCATCTTAAAAAGATGAAAATAATGTTATGTGATTTTAATTTAAATTATAATTATCTCCTTGTTTCATAAGAATGTATTTGTGAACGCATTCGTTAATTTTATATTGTTTCATTGTTTACATTATAGGAAAAAAAAAAAAATAGACATTTGGAAGATAAAGTATTGTTTAATATTTCTTAATATTAAAAACCTATTCATATATAAATTAATAAAAGATTAATATATATATATATAATATTTAATTAATATTAATTTTTTTGTTCCAAATATTTATATAATTTTAATATCCAAGAAAAGTGATAAATATATTTTTTTATTACAAATGTTATTTTGTACATTTGACAATAGTTTATAAATCGAAGTATCAATCTACTGTAACTACACTATATATAAATGTATTATTATTATTACTGTGTTATATGAGAAGAGTTGATAGCACAGTTCATGACAGATAAAACACAGAGTAAACTAGATTCTAACTTGAGAAACCTTTATAATAAATTCATTATACGATCGTATATAAATATTTTTTAAAGAAAGTGTTAGTTTCTTTTATAATAATGTTTTAAACGCACAAAGAGATAATTTTTTAAAGAACGATACGAATAAATAATAATAGTAAAAAGGAATATCTTCAATGAAGAATAAAAAATATAAAACTGTAATAATTACAAAGTAATAATACTATGGTAATAAATTGATAAGACAATAGTAAAAAATATGTTTATTATTAATGAGTTATAATCTTATTATGATCAAAATCTTTTTTAATCTATAATTGAAATCTTTTATTTACAGTTTCAAAAATGTGTCCTGCTTTTTTGGAAAATGAAGAGCGTTGTTTGGGTGGGATGACATTTTTTGCTCAATGTCATCCAGTCGAAGTATGCGGCAGTAATGGCCTTCCATTAACACCCAACTCTATAACTATTTATGGAAAGTCTCAATTTTTAAAGACTATATGTCATCCAAATTTATCAGAATATCTTGATATCATTAGAAGTAAACATGGTATCGTATTTAATTTTTAGATCATACAATTATA